CAAACTAACTCATAAGTGAAAATTACACCACGAAACTGCAAAAATGTCTAAAGCAGTTGTTGTTCTTATGGTTTCTCATCCGATCCTTTCGGTATCCGTCTATCCGAGCATATCAAAGACTAGAAATTAAGCATTTCTCTTTTTTACAGCGCTAGGAGTCATATCCATCATAACCACATGCTAGAAATGAAGAAAACACCATTTGAGGGTAGAACATGAGATGCAAATTTCACGTGAAGTTGGCCAAGAAACCACACTCACCTCCCGCAAATTTTAGCAAGAAATTTGGCGAGATGAGAGCAAACATGCCCAAGTCAGTGTAACGAATAGAAGCCTACAATGAACTACATACTAAGGCATAAGTTCGTTGGTATGGTAAAATAACTCCAAAGCCTATGAATTACGATAACAACTTTCTCCAATTTCAATCCATTGATGTCCAAGCAGAAGTTATGGTCTAAGTGTTAAGTGAACACGTATGGAAATCGACGTCAGAATTGATGTACTGGTAGCCTACACCACCCAAGGCAAACAGTAGGTTGAGGTATATACGATGAAGGTATGATTTGTTGAACCTTACTCAGCTACAAGCCTAATGAACCTATTTGAACTTATTTCAACAATACAAGAAGAATGGTAACCATTTACCATAAACCTGGACAAAAGAAATTCAACATAGCAAAAAAACCAAATAAAACTAATCAATGGATACTTGGTAGCGTCAATGTCTTTCTGGACTATTGAGTACTGACCATGGGCTCCCACACTCATTTTCTCATTCTACACATTCTTGTTTATTTCTCTCCATTGATTCTCTTTTGATTTCGTGAATCCGACGATCAGAATAAACAAGAGTGGGTTCTCTCTTACAACCGGTGACACCATGCAAATGACAAGTATATAACGAATAGGAGATATACCATTTAAACACATTACAATCATCTATGTCATCAATCACACCACTAAAACTATGCATTGGCTACAAGACAGAATCTCTCGTGACTTAGGCCACATCTAAAAGACAAAATGAAAATGGATATTCCAAATTTATAAAAAGGCTTATATCTGGAAGGATAAGAACTAGTTAATATGCAGGTAAGTGTTGTACTTTATTTATACATACATACATATATATATCCCAAAAATTAAAGTATTAGATTCTAATTTAATAATTGAAAAATCAAGAGAGGCGCACATCACTGACGCAATTTTATATTATTCTTCTGAAAGATCACAGTTTGGATTGCACACTATTTTCGAATTGCAACAAAGAAAATCAAATCTTAATTCCCACTTCCCCAATTCAACTCATTAACAAAAACTCATCAAAGCAACTTGATCCCCAAGGATACAAATAACAAGACATTTCATCAAACACTTGGAGGGTTTGTGTAATTCAGTGTACCAAGTAGTCTGGTTTTTTAACAATCGTCACCGTTCAATTTCTTACCCTCAATTTTCTCCGTTCATTTCCCCAACTATTCTATAGTATAGGGTTATTGAAGAAAAATTGTCATTTGAGAACAGAACATAAGATAACATGTAAAAACACAAAATTTGAGAGAGGGAATTACAAAATCGACTCACATGGCGGCAAAGAAGGCAACCCATTTGAGAAAAGAAGTCCCAAAACCCAAACCACCAAGTTTGGTGGCATCACTGATGAGTCTCTTGGCTGCAATCTTGAGCTCTTTGATATCTGAATCTATCAACTCACTAGTTTCCGGGTCATCACTTTTCAGAGCCAGATACTCCATCCCCTTCCTCCCCATATTTTTTTTTATTTGATTTTCTGCTAAATTTCTTGCTTCAGATTTGAGAAAATGCAAGTCCTGTACAGTACAGAGGTACAACAAAGGCAGTGTTGGTGCTTTGGACTTAGTATGTCACACTATATCTACTGTGTGGGGTCCCTTGGTTTGAGGTTACACGTGTCAGAGAATGTAAAACGGTGGAGACTGGATCGGATCCTAACTGTTTTTCCGGCTTCTAGGTTTTGACTGTTGGATCCGGTTGGGGTCCACGTGGCTTCCCGTCATAGGCTTTTTTTTTTTTGTGGGAAGACTGGAAATTTTCATAACTAGGACGAAAGCCAACAGTACAAGGAAAGCCCACAAGAGGGGCAAGCATAGCAAAACACACGAAAGGTGTGAAGGACACCAGCATAAGGACGCTGCCACAAAGGCCAGACGACATCCCAACATACCCCAACAACAAAAATACACTTACGAAGAGCAAGGAAGACCATCCTTGTTAAGAATGTGAATCAATGAAGATGGGGGTCGTCTAACCCAAATGTTGCTGCACATCTCCATGTTCTGCCTCGACGCTAAAAGGCTTGCCGTCTAATTGGTCGATCTTGGAACCCAAGACCAGCGACAACCTTGGAAAGAGGTCCCCAAACTCAAGATGTTTTCCAAGATTGGAAACACTTCCCAGCTGCCATTAGAAATATCTCCTTTCAAGGAAGAGACCACCTCTAGCGAATCAGACTCCGCAACAACCCAACCAAAACCCAGCTCAGCCGCCAACTCACATCCTTTTAGCATCGTCATCGCCTCCGCAAACACCACCGACGGAGCCACAATAGAATGTTTATGAGCCGCCACAAATTGACCCTTATGGTCACGCACACCGCAGCTAAATTGGCCCAACCATACACCGTGGACCAACTAGCATCCACATTGATTTTGATGTAGAGGCAAATAGAGAGCACCAATAAGGATCAACCCTGGAGGAAGCAGAGATAGATCGGGATATAATAGATTTTGGGACATTCACCTCCCAAAAGGAAGCCAATGATAAGGAAATAACATGCAGAACCTGGGAGGGAACAATGGTTAAAGCATTAAAGACATAATTACACATTGCCTTCCAGATATGCCAACAAGTAAAAACAATAATAGAAAGGAGCCTTGATTTATCCTGCGGGTGAGAAGCCAAATTTATCATATCTTGGATCCAGTTATTAAAAGAAGAAACCCCATCACCCATCATCCGAAGACCAAGTTGTCTACCAAACCAAATTGGCTCAACCCAAGGACATCGCAATAGCATATGCGTAACTTATTCCTCCTGATTCTTGAAAATTGGACACATAGGTGATAAGGCCGACCGACGCAAAAATAACCCCTTCATCGTGGCCAACGCTTCCCTCACAGCCCGCCTCGGAGGCTATTATTGAACTATTGAAGGACTAGAGAAATTTTTCATTTTGTCAACAACACGAAGTGATACATTATTATATAAAAGAGAATTTTTATCTTTTAAGTGTTATTCCACTTATATGTACCACCTCGTTTTCTAAGCACCTAACATGAGGAGTTATTTTGCTGGGTTAGATCCACTTGGATTTTGATTACAATCTCAAGCTCATCTAACTGCTAATGTTAGGTGCTTGCCCAAGTTTCTAATCAGTGATCAAGCCCAAGAAAACATCAAACCAAACGGTTTTTCGTCATATTCTCTGTCAAGGTAGCATTACTTTTTAAAGTGCCATGTAAGCTATCCAAGTAGAATTTGAAGAACTATTATTTTCTAATGGTGTTTGGTGTGTGTTCGTATTAGATAGCCATCGGATTAAATAATCTGGCCCCACTTACATTATACGATAAGCACCCATTTCCTTATCCCCTCTAAAACCACGGTACAATTTAGTCGGCTTCCTGAGAACGCACCCCTCACTTTCTCCTTCCTCCGAAGACACACTCTCACTCTCTCTTCCTCTTTAGACGGTAGAAGAAAATCTCTCGCTCTCGCCTTCCTCTCCAACCGCACCAGTCCTTTCCAAACGCACTGCTCCCAGGTTTATCTTCTCATTCTTCTTCTTCTTCCCAGGTTCCGCCCCTCCCTCTGTTCTTCCCCCCTCTTTCTATTTTTCTTGCAATTTTCTTTCAATTGTTTGAATCTAGTTATTGTTTTCTCTGTAATTATGCAATTGATTATGTAATTTTGTGTTTTAATTAGAATTTTCAAATTTAATTTGTTGTTGGGGTCGAATACTTGAGACTTCCTTTTTTCTTGAATTCCTGCGATTCTCTTATCCAAAACCTTCGAACCCTTTTCTAGAATTTCAATCACAACCCACCGAGTGGAAGAGAAAGAAGACAAACTCTGCATGTTTGGGTGATGAGATTGGCATCCATTGGGAAGAAAACCCTGCAATGGAGCAACATTGGAAGAAGGGCAACGTGAATGAGAAGTATGATCAGTGTTTGAGATGTGAAATTCGTCATCTTCACGAGCAGGAAAAATAGTTTGTGAGAATTCGGGCAAATGTTTTTAATAGAGATTAATGCATTCTACAACTTGAACGAGAAGTACGATCAGTGTTTGAGATGTGAAACTTGTCAAAAAAAAAAAAATTCTCCCCCTTTCTTATCCGGTTCAGTACCAAACAGTGTAAATAATACGGTCATTAGTCTGATACTGCACCAAACGCTCGACTAATTTAGTCAATATTATCCGATGACTATTTATCATATCCGACAGAAATAATCAGTACAATTCAAGCTATCAAACGAGATCTCAATATTTTCTTTGTCAGAACTCAAGTTATTCGCACTAATCATCATGATTCATGAACATCCAAGAAATCATGTGCATGCTCTCTCTCTCTCATCTTACCAATCAACTCAACAAAAAACCCAGATGAGAGACAAGCTGTTATCATATCTGCAGCTTCCAAAAGTCATACCAAAAACTGTTTTTACAAAAAAAGCAAAAGCCGAATTGCAAAAGTTTGAATTTGCACCATTTGTACAATCACTTATCGGCTTTTGCTTTCACCGTAATATATAACAACATATCATATTGTCTCAGACAACAGAGATTTTTCAATGTGACCGTCACACAAAGTAGTACATCATGTATCGTTATATAAATGATAGGATGTGTATTAAAAAGTTAACAACTTAAAAAATAAAATTTCTCACCACTTATATAAAAACAAATGATGTACCACCTGTATTCCCTTCACAATTAAAAATTTCTTGTCAGACACACGTCTCAAAAGTCGAGTTCTCAGTACCAAATAAGCGAATCCAATCCATCCACGTTTTCATTTATCTACGTGGCAATGAAATATAGTGATCCGGTTCGGTCGCGTCTACTGTTGGTGATGGTGTCGCCGTCGTCCCTTTCTCGTATCAACGACCGTCGGTTTGTGCGAATCGCACACCTGGGTCTTGAACTTGCACCCGAACCTCCGGATCAACGAGTCTTTCCGACCCAACTCGTCTCTTCCGGGTTGGCCCGGCTTATCAATTTTCTCGATCACTTTCTTCATGCTGGAGCATTCCCGCTCCAATTGGTGCACCCGCGTCCTCATGCTATCCATGTCCAATCGCAACACCTGATTCTGTCTCACCGCCGCCAGCCACGTGCCTCCACTTTCATCCCCGCGTGCCTCCGCCGCGTCGCCCTCTTCCTCCTCCTCGTCATCCCTTTCGCGTCGCAGCACAGAAGGCCTGGACGATTCCGGGGGAACGCCGTCGGCGGCGAGAAGAGTTCCGGCGATGGCGTGGCGGAGCTGGAGCTGCTCGAAAAACAGAACCTGCACCACCGCTCGCAGCGGCAATCGCTCGTTCTGCGCTGCATGCGTGCACGCCTCCAGCGTCAGCTTCTGGCAGTCTAGAATTCCGCAGACCTTCTCGCGCTCAGGTTCCGATAGCCATGGATGCGCCTGAAGAGAACATAAATCGATTAACATTCCGCAATTAACATAGTATTAAGCTTAAAATCCTAATTAATTATGAATAAACAGGATTAATTTATGAAATGATATTCTAATTTGAATCGGATAGTGTACGGACCTTGAGATAGACATCGACGGCTCTGTAAAGGCCGTCGTCGAAGAGCCGAGTTTGATCAGGCAGAGAAATCGCGAGGTTGTAGAACCGATCCGGTTTAAGATTCGCATCGGAGGCGATCTCGGAAAGGAACTCATCTATCAATTTCCCGACGAGCATCAACGACGGCGATCGGACGGCGCCGTCAGAACCGTCTTCGATGCTGGCGGTGTTTCCCTGATCCAAGCCGTTCAAGAAGTAACCGAGGATTCTCTCGATGCAATCGACGTCGTAGAGCGTCTCGTTCAGGTAGGAGTAGCTCGGGATGAGGAGGTCGTCTAAGGTGGCTTGGTGGAACTGCGAGGCAATCTTCTTCTCCAAGGCGGCCTTGCAGGCTTCGGAGGCGTTAAGTATGTTGGCGGTTCGCAAAAGTCCGAAGAGGAATCGAGTCGCCGTCGAAGGTCTGGAGCTCTTCTCCAATGGAAGATTGGAGATGATCGTCTCCAAAAGCTCTCTCTGCTGACTCTCCGAAGCTAAACGCGATGATTCGGCGGCAGTAGTGGCGGCGGCGGCGGAGGTAGAAGACGAAGGCTTTCTATTCGTTCTCGAAATTCCAGGAATGTACTTCTTAGCGTAATGCATCAAGCACGTCTCTACTATCTCCAAGCTCAGATCTCCAGATTTCATGGCGGAAATTAACCGCTTGAAGAGTGGCAAGCTCAAAACCACCAAGTCTTCAAGCCAGGAATCCGCGCGTTTACTCCTTCTCCGTCCGCCGCCGGCGTCGATACCATTCCACAAAATCTGCTGTTTTGAAGCAGAAGAAGCCGAAACCGCATCCGCATTTGCATTCCGAATGGGTCCACCGTCGCTAACCGGCCAGCCAAACAGGGAGGGATCGGCAGACGTGGCACGGGAGGCGACGGAGTCTATGCACCTCTGCGTAATCCCCAAATTCTCCGCCAGAGGCATGACTCGCTCGCAGGACTTGAGAGCTCTGAGCGACTCCTTGAAGCTTTTCAACACCGACTGAGAGAGAAACCTCTCGGTCTTGGAAATGAGGTTGTTCTCCGAGTACTCCTCCGTCATATCCAAGTACTCCCCGGCGCAGCGCAACGGCACGACATTGGAGGAGCTCAGATCGATCTTGACGCCGTAGCAGAACTTGGCGGCGATCTCGAAGGTCTCGGAGCCGTCGGGGAAGTCAGAGAGGGATATTTGGCACTGGACTTCTTCGATTTCGTCGTCATCGTCGTCGTCCATTTGGTGATGGGGGTTTGATGGGTTCGTCTCTTGCTCTGTGATTAGGTTATGAAGCTTTCGACTTTTCGACATGAGAGGGAACTGTAACAAATCGGAAAAATTGGAAACTGTTAGATGAAACTTTTGGTGGAAGGTGAAGAAATGTGGAATGTGCTCTCCAGGTGTTTGATGAAATGACCTTATGGAGATGGAAGGTCATGTCGTTGACTTGGACGACAATGTCGCTTGGCAATCCAGTGGTGCAGAACCTGCAAACACGAGAGTATGAAGTGAGTTTTTCTAAAGAAATGATGCATTGATTTGATGTGGGTATCCGGCAGAAAATCGAAAAGGTGAGGTTTTTTCAATTGAGTTTGAACATTCAACTCACCATGCTTGGCCCTTGGAGCTTGATTTCTCAGCTGCCGCCGCCGCCGTTGCTGCAGCCATTATCTCCGCCCGGTAATGCCTCTGTATACGAGTCTGCCTTTTGAGTGAAAGAAAAGCCTTTTGATTAGGGAATCAGAAACCGAGATCCATGAAAGAGACAAACGGGGGGAAAGGGATTGACTTGAGTTCGTTTGAGCGACAGAGAGAGAAGGAAGGAATGAAAGGATGGTTGACGGAATGGAAGGGTGGAAATTGTTTGGTTGTTGTGATATTCTGTGAGGAACACTTCAGCAATTAGGGGGGAGAGAGAGAGAGAGAGTACAGAAACAATGAAAGAGAAAGGGGAGAGAGAGAGAGAGAGAGGGGGGGGAGAGATGGAATCCAAAAAAACTGAGAGAGGACAAACAGAGCTAGCTTGAGCAAATTTCGAAAAAGGGGATCCAACAATTTGCAAAAGACCCCATCACAATTCAGAAGAAGAATCTCACTCACTCACTCACAGGCCACAGCTGACTCTCTCATCTCTCTCTCTTTCTCTCTCTCTCTCTCTCCGCACCGACTATTTCAGCTCTTGTATCTCTCCCTTTCTCATCTCCTCCTCCTCCTTCAAAAGCTGACAGAGAGATGGGAGTGGAGTTGGAAAAGGTACGTTGTCTTTGAGGCAAGTTCTCTCTTTTTATTTTTGAGACATTTAAAAAAGGGCTTCAACAGTATATGAGACATTAGAAATGGACAGGGATTCTCTTCATATCCCTTCTTCTTAATTTAATAAGTTTAGGAATTCGGACCATTAAAATTTGATTCCAAAGTTAAAATTATTATAATTTTTAAAGTGGACCTCTGTTTGTAATCGTTTAATCAAATTTCAATGGTCCAGATCTCCAAACTAAAGGGATTAAGAGGAATAAATCTAGAAATGATCATTTACCAAAATGGAAAGGGATCCCTTTCCATTAGAAATTAGCCAAAAATTGCACTGCTTGCCAACCGTAACTAACTAACTGGGTCTTATTACTTTGGGTCTTATTACTTTGTGGCGCAAATGATGGAAATGAATGATATATTTTAATTAAATTTTGATCATTTAGTAATCTGGTGTTAGGCTCACTTTAATATAATTATTATCCAATGTAGCATGCCCCATTGTATTTGATTCATTTCCTTGGGGAGGCTTGAAACCATGTCCAAACCAACCTCGAAAATTCTACACTGAATTGATGAGTATGATGCATTGGTACATTGAATGGCTGGATTTGCATGTTTCGATTATGGAGCGATTAGGGGAGGGATGGGTCGGGTTGGGAGGTGGTGAGGGAAGGATGAGTGCTAGTGAGAGAGGGACGGAGGAGGGAGACCGAACGGGGAGAGGTACGAAGGAGGGAGACCGAGTTGGCGAGGATGGATGAGGAAGAAAGGTGTTGATGCACAGAACCGAAGGGGTCTTGGAACAACATAAATCCTACCGTGAATCTGCAAGAAAGTAAAGAACACAAGATGTATCGTGGTTCACCCCAATATTTGGGCTACGTCCACACTGATGTTGATATTGTTTCACTCTGAATGGTGAATATACAAGAAGACTAGAGGCAGTGTGCTCTCTAGCCTATTTTCTGTGTTTGCCCTCTTTGAGATGTTTTCTCTCTTCCCATGGCTTAAACCTTAACCTCCCCTAATGAGGAAAGTGATGGGCCCTTTTATAGAATAAGGGCTCATCACTTATTACATATTTGCCCATTCATTTATTACATAATTACATTTGAGTCCCCTGAGTATTTATACGAGGTCTAAATACAGAGGCCCTAAATATAGTACAAACAGTAGTCCTCCAAGTCTTCAATCAAGAGAATCTTTTGGCTGGAGACTTGACATTCAGTCCATGTGTGGGCCGAAGTAACTAGATGTCGTCTAGAACTGATACTCGATATGAGGCGGTACTTAATGTGAAATGATGTTCAACTAGAAGTAGCACATGTTGCAAGGTTGCTCGGCTTATGGCTTATGTTGCCTTGGGCTCGGCTTATGGCGTTGAAGGTGAAGGAGTCCCTTTTATAGAATAAGGGCTCGCTCCTCAATACATAAATGATGGGCTAGAGTTGATGCTCACAGCAAGGCGGTTACTCAGCAGGCGGCGATGCTCTCTAATGATGGTGAGGGAGTCCCTTTTATAGAATAAGGGCTCACTCATCAATACATAAGTGATGGGTTATGAGTGATGCTCGCGACGAGGTGGTTGCTCAGCTGGCGACGATGCTCTTTAATGAAGGTGAGGGAGTCTCTTTTATAGAATAAGAGTTCGCTCCTCAATACATAAGTGATGGGCTAAGAGTCTCTCTTTAATGAAGGTGAGGAAGTCCCTTTTATAAAATAAGGGTTCGTTCCTCAATACATGAATAATGGGTGCTCTCTAATGAAAGTGAGGGAGTCGCTTTTATAGAATAAGGGTTCGCTCCTCAGTACATAAATAATGGGCTAAGTCCCCTAAGTATTTTTCATGAGGCCCAGTTGCAGAAGCCCAATATATGGTACATAGTGTAGTCCCCAAGTCTTCAGTCAATATAGTATGTTGGCTGGAGACTTCAAATTCAATCCATGTATGGGCCGAAGTGGCGGTTGTTCGGATGCGGTCTTTGTATACCATGCACTGAAGCTTTGTAGGTGAAGCTTTGAAAGTGAAGTTTTATAGGTGAGGCTTTGAAAGTGAAGCTTTGAAGCTGGAGCTTTTGTAAATGAAGCTTTGAAGTTGGAGCTTTGTAAATGAAGCTTTCGAAGCTGGAGATTTTGTAAATGAAGCTTTCGAAGCTGGAGATTTTGTAAATGAAGCTTTCGAAGCTGGAGCTCTGTAAATGAAACTTTCGAAGCTGGAACTCCGTAAATGAAGATTTCGAAGCTGGAGCTCTCGAAGCTGGAGCTCTATAAATGAAGCTTTCGAAACTAGAGCTCTGTAAATGAAGCTTTCGAAGCTGGAGCTCTATAAATGAAGCTTTCGAAGCTAGAGCTATGTAAATGAAGCTTTCAAAGCTGGAGCCCTGTAAATGAAGCTTTCGAAGTTAGAGCTCTATAAATGAAGCTTTCAAAGTTGGAGCTCTGTAAATGAAGCTTTCGAAGCTAGAGCTCTGTAAATGAAGCTTTCAAAGCTGATTGACATGAGTGATGCTCATGAATGTTTATATTGATTGACATGATGAGTGATACTCATGGATGTTGACATGAGTGATGCTCATGAATGTTGACATGATTGATGCTCATGAATGTTTATGTATGATTGACATGAGTGATGGTGATTGTCATGAGTGATGCTCTTGTATGATTTTTTGGAGGATGGGTTGTACTTTTGATCACCTGGTTAGTGATAATAACGGCAGACTGCTGAATAATTTTGGAGTACTGGACGTACTTTTGATCACCTAGTTGGTGATAATAGTGGCAGGCTGCCGAATAATTTTGGAGTACTGGACGTACTTTTGATCACCTGGTTGGTGATAATAGAGGGTGAACCTTAAGTGGAGGGATGAAGGTTGAAGTTTGAAGCCATAAAGCCTGGTTCTTTTGGGCATATGGGCCTTCACCCTCCACATAACATTCTAGCCCACTATTTTGGGCTTGCTAACATTTTGCCTTTTTTTTTTTTGGCATGCTGTCTTCTTTCTTTATTTATGATTACCCTCTGGTGGGGTTATACCGACGTCTCCAAAAGATAAGAAAAGTAAATCACATCATTCAAAAAAGCTACTAGGACTTGGCAACAACGAGATTTCTCCCTTCACATCAACCTCAGTGGTCTAGCTGTTAGAGGAAACCTTCACGTGGAGGCAGGTTTGGTCAGCAGGCATGGCAACCCTAAATCCTATATATATATATATAAACACACACATGGCAGACAATTTTTTTTAGTGGCAGGTAACATGATGGGATATTAAATGAGAGCATTTTGTCTTTTTGTCAAGGGTTGGTGGCTTTCTTTCAGGCAATGGGAACATGCACTCCATGATGAAAGTCTTATCTTAATTGATCAAATCAAAAGAAAAAGGTCTTATCTTTTTCAGATTCTTTTGCAGAGGTCGCTTCAGACTGCTTGACGAAGATAGGGAAGGTCAGCTTCCTAGAGAGCTCCGGCGCCTTGACAATCTCCGTAGTAAGGTGCCTCCAACTCCGGCAGACACCAGCACGACCACGCTCTTCCGCGGCAGTCAAGCATCCTAAGAGGCTTCGATTCTCACCAGCGCCTCTCTGAGCAACTACCGAGGCATTTAAGCCCAGCAGATCTGATTCAACGGCTCCAACTTCATCGATCAATGTCATAATATCTTCACCCTTTGAGAGGTGGTTCTGACGTCGGCCTGTGAGAGGGTGAATGAGATGAAAAAATAGGAAGACATCAATACCCACTCGACCCATTGGCGAGAGTCCTCGGTGAAGTCGAAAGCAGGGTTTTCCAACAGCTCCGATTTCAGAATAAAGTACACCTTCAGAAACTTTGACTTGAGATCCGCCATTGTCAGTTTTGTCAATCTAATCCGCCACCACACAGACACTAGTAATCTTAGAGCCCTTCCCAGATACTCACCCAGAACTGGTTGTTCATGTTCGTCGCTGGTGGTAGTGGAGGTGGTTGGTTAGTGGGGCGTAGGTGATCCAAGTCCTATAGGAGAGAAGAAAAGGACTTTTCTGGTAGATGTGCGACATGCGACGACGATCGCGTAGGCGATGAGTCAAAGGTCCGAGTCACTGAGTTGGGCCGAGAGTTGGCCGAGCGGGGATGGGAGATCGGTGCCCATTGCGAAAATGGATCTAGTGGTGTGCTGAGTGATTTGGCAGGTGAGGCGGTGATACCTCTCTTGGATTAGCCTAACGAAGAGAGATCTCTGAAGAGGTGAGCTATTGAGGCGGATACAGGGGAAGAGAGGAAAAGATGACAGATAGCGAGTGTTCGAGAGTTTTCATTTCTGCATCTTTGAAAGATGGGTTTACAGTGACTTTGATTCCTGGGTTTCTGCTGATTCACGGTGGATATTGTGGTGAGGTTTCACGGTGGTGAGATGAAAAAATGAAAAAGAACCGACATAGCATTTCGTGTCGTTTCCCACAGATGGCGCCAAATGTTGATGCACAGAATTGGAGGGATCTTGGAACAACATAAATCCGACCGTGAATCTGCAAGAAAGTAAAGAACACAAGATGTATTGTGGTTCACCCCAATGTTTGGGCTACATCCACACTGATGTTGATATTGTTTCACTCTGAATGGTGAATATACAAGAAGGCTAGAGACAGTGTGCTCTCTAGCCTATTTTCTGTGTTTACCCTCTCTGAGATGTTTTTTCTCTTCCCATGGCCTAAACTTTGACCTCCCCTAATGAGGAGAGTGAGGAGTCCTTTTATAGAATAAGAGCTCCTCACTTATTACATATTTGCCCTTTCATTTATTACATAATTACATTTGAGTCCCCTGAGTATTTATACGAGATCTAAATACGGAGACCCTAAATATGGTACAAGCAAAGGGGTCTGGGCAATGATGGATGGTTTAGTTTAGGTTTATTTTTTTAATTTTTTTTAATATTCATGTGAGCCCATATTGACGCATGGCGCCCAATCATTATCCACGCATGCGCCACGTCATCAATCAATGGCAGACTTAACAGCCAACTTAACGAATGTATGAGACTGTCTCAAAATTAAGATTTGAGGTATGACGCTGGGA